AAAAAAAAAAAAAAAAAAAAAAAAAAAAAAAAGAAAGGTCAATTTATGTTAAGAGTATACTGTTCAACAAAGCTGAGCCACATTGTTATAAAATTTCAATCAACATGATAAAAAACAAAAAATAGTTTAGGTGTTGAGAAGGATATATGTCATTACATGCTGACTGAGAAATAAAATATTATATAATGTTTATATATTCCTCTAAGCTTTTCTCTGAAAAAAAAAATACTTGGAAAAAAGCTCTCTTGAAGGCTATTTTATGACCTCAATGTCCTGGGGCAAAATCTTTAGTTCTTCAAATTCACTGGCAAGCAAGAATCTAGCTAATGCCTCCTCAAGGTCATCAGTTAATGGAATAGTTCTCAGAAGTCACTCCGTTGTAAGCTCTTGCCAATTGTTAGGAATTTACATTGGTCACCATGGTGGGAGGAAAACTCTGATCCATTGACCAAGAGTGCCCTCCATGGCATGGCATGGCACTGCCCTAGACCCAGGGACACTTCTCCTTTATAGGAGAAGTGATTGCACGCAAATACATGCCATTTAGAGCAAGTTGCAGAAATGAAGGGAAGATTCGATACTATGCAAGCACAAAAAGGAGTGGTCACCTAAACCTGAAGTAGAGGAATGCTTCACAGAGTGGTAACACTTGAATCCTGAGCGATGAGTGGGAGTTGGCCTAGCTAGCAAACAGAAAAGAGTATTCTGGACAGGGCTGGTAGCATGTGTAGAGGCACAGTCATATGGAATATTACAGTGAATTTGAGAAGGTTCACTTTGGAACATGGAAGCAGGGTGTTTGAGAAGAGCAATCGATACTGGCCTGAAAGGAGGACCCCTTCTCTATTCCCTGTCATAGCTTTCCAACTTTCCTCTCCTCAGTTGAGTTTCAGGACAGAGCAACAAGTCCACTGGTCTAAGCAGATGTCCAGTAGAGAATGAAACCAGTGTGCTCATTCCCTACTGGGGAAACTGATGCTCAAAAAAGTTAAGGAAACTGCCTAATTCCTCTTTCTCTCTCTGTATTAGATTTCCTCTTAAAACTATGTTGGGTAATTAAAATATAAGCCTTCTGTGTTCTCAGATGATTTTAAAATCTTATTTATTAGATCAAGAGGGCCCTTTTAAAAAGTCTATTAGAGACTAAATTTCTTGATGACTTAAAAAAATCTTCATGAGGCAATGGTGCCATTCTTTTTTATAAAGCTTTATTGAGACGTAATTCACATTCCATACAATTCAGTCATTTAAGGTACACAACTCAATGGCTTTTAGTGTATTCACAGAGTTGTGCAACCATAACCATGATCATTTTAGAATATTTTCATTTTCTCAGAAAGAAACTTCACATCCTTAAACCATCACTCCCATTTTCCCCCCAACTTCCCCAGCCCTAGGCAACCACTAATCTATTTTCTGTCTCTATAGATCTGTCTTTTCTGGACACTTCACATAAATGGAATCGTACAATATGTTGTTCTTTATGGCTTTCACTTAGCATAATGCTTTCATCCATCTTGTAGCATGTATTAGTACTTAATTATTTTTTATTGCCAGATAGTATGATGTGGATATACTGCATTTCATTTATTCATTCATCAGTCCATGGACATGTGAGTTGTTTTCACTTGTTGTCTGTTATGAACAATGGTGCCATTCTGTTGCTGTATTTGTGGTATTTTCCTCATATTGCTTATTAATGTGATTAGCTTTGTAAATCTGTACTTAAAAATATTTGTCAGTAAGCAACCTGTTTCTGGGTGAGTCTATCACTTCCTATAGTGTAGATCAAGATAGACATGGGTAGAAGTGCATATGGGTGCTTTCGGTATAAGCATTGTGTTATTCATGTGCAACCTGGAGGAGAAAGCCTTAATTCTAATACATGGTGGAGAGTCTTTCTCTAGTGATTTCTAAATGTGACCATGGTCCATTCTAACCATTAACTTTTGGATTAGAAGAGAGCTGAGCAAATAACTTACATCCTAACCAGATGGGTATGATTTTACCAAACTCCTTTCTTGCTGGATTTAACATTCCAAGAAAGGATGCATTCAGGACACATAAATGACTACAAAGTACAAAACAAAAGTACTTTGAAGAAATCTTAAGAAATTTCTTCCCAAGTGAAAGGTGGATAGGAAACTTTTGGACTTAATCTTACAGGATGTTGCAATTCAAAGACCATTAAATTGGGTATAAGGTACAATCCCTCTTTAGCCAGACAGAGAAGATTACTGATTATACTCTTGAGATATTATAAAGCATTTTTAAGGCTTCTGTTAAACTAGGGAATTGTGAATTGGTAGGTTTCAAATAAGTTCCTCCAGACCTCAGTCTGGTCTAAAGTTTCCTGTTTTTACAATTAACTCCTCATGTTTCTTTGTTGAGTGTGTGTCTGCGTGTGTGTGTGTGTGTGTGTGTGTGTGTGTGTGTGTGTGTGTGTAAAACCTAAAGATAGACCAGAAAGCATCTGGGCCATCTGGCTCTAGAGGAGAATCCAGATTTCTGTGAGGGCTGGGTAGTAAATTGCATAAACAATACTATCTTAATGTATGATTCCTGTGCTAACGCTCAGTCACCACTTCAAAATACCCTTAACCTGCTGTATTTGGTGTTAATACTTTTTGGGTTTTTGTCTGTGAATGAAGCAGATTGATTTGTCCTAGGATAAACCCAGTTTAGGCCTAATTACTTCCATATTGTTTTGTCAAGCTTCTGGGGGATTACAAAGAAAAGTGGATATGTCAAGCATTGGGCTGCTCCTGAAAGCAATGCTGTCTTCTTGGTGCCCACTCTCCTGTCTGCATTTCATTTGCCAATAAAGGACTACTATTAAGAAAGAGGCATCAGTCTGGGCGCGGTGGCTCACGCCTGTAATCCCAGCACTTTGGGGGCCCGAAGCAGGCAGATCACTTGAGGTCAGAAGTTTGAAACTGGCCTGGCCAACATGGTGAAACCTCCGTCCCTACTAAAAATACAAAAATTAGCTGGGTGTGGTGGCGGGCACCTGCAATTCCAGTTACTCAGGAGGCTGAGGCAGGAGAATTGCTTGAACCCGGGAGACAGAGGTTGCAGTGAGCTGAGATCGTGCCACTGCACTCCAGCCTGGGTGATAGAGCAAGACTCAGTCTCAAAAAATAAAAAAAATAAAAAAATTTAAAAAAGCAGTCACCAAGCCAGGCATGGTGGCTCACACGTGTAGTCCCAGCTACTAGGGAGGCTGAGGTGAGAGGGTTGCTTGAGGCCAGGAGTTCGAGGCCAGCCTGGGCAACATACTGAGACTCCCATCTCTAAAAGACTTTAAAAAAAAATCAAGGGCAGATGGAAAAGATTGCTAGCAATCGGGATGTCTCAAGGCTTGTGTACTGGCTAGGAAAATGCAAGGTTATATTTGTACAGCCCCTAGCGAAGTGCTACATGAATGCATCCTAATTTTAATTAAGATGATTTTCAAAAGGCATTTAGTTCCCTACTCCTCAGAGCAAGACCCTTTCTCCTGTAACTGAAGTGAAATAGAAGAGGTTACATTTCAAATTTTTCATAAAGGTTCTTATTTTGAAGTAATAATGTTAAAAGCATCAATGACATTTACAGAACACTTACTATAAGCTGCCATTTCACTTAACCCTATTATAAGCTCTGCTTTCCACGTGAAGGAACTGAAGCACAGAGAGGCTCAATAATGTGGCTAGACTCACACAGCTGGTGTGTGCTGGAATCAGGCAGTAAGACTTCAGAGCCCAGGTTCTCAACTACCCAATTAAGAACTTGTGCTGTTTCTTAATTGTGTTATCACAAAAACATTTTTACTGCAAATTTAAAATATATACTCTACATAAATATTTATGTGAACACAGCACACATTATAAAACTATATTATCTTTTCTCAAAAAAAACGATTGTGTTCTACATGCCCATGTTACCCCAGGAAAAAGGTCTTTCTTTTCCTTTGGAATGAGGAGTGACATTTGATTTTTCCAGGGAACTTAAAATTATTTTGAGGTTCCAGTCGTGCATGGTATAGAGATTTATGACAAATATGTGATCTATTTATTTGTCACCCAACTTGGATGACTTCCAAATGTTTCTTCTTTGTAGCTCTTGATTTTGCTTGGGTTTTTCCCCCCAATGGCCAAATAGTAAAAAACCAAACCAAAAAACAATGTCTGAATCACGTTTGCTCCAGTCAAGGAATACCAACCTGCTTAAGACCAAAGACAACTTTGGTTTTTAAAAATCTTACTCTATATTATTTGCAACTTTGAAGGACATTCATGCTTGAGTAGACTGGGTTTGAAAGAAAAAAAAAGAAGAAGAAGAAAAAATCCCAGCAAGTTGTGGCTTAAGTCTCTCTGCCATTTGCTGCAGTGAGTTTTCCTATTCCATTTTGCTGGGGAGAAGGCATGCTTAACAGAACACATCAAACTGTCCGAAAAAGGCTGTCTGCATCCCTCATGTTTAAAGGAGAAGGCTTTCTTTCCCTTTCCTTCACACATCAAAGAAGGCACTTGGGGAGGAAATAAACCATAATTAGGCATGAGCGAGCGAGCGAGCAGACAGACCCCTTGCTCTGCCTTCCCTGTCCCCGCCCCCCAGGCCCTGGCAACGGTCCTGGGCTCAAGAGAGGAGCGGGCGCCTCCGCAGCAGCTGCAGAGAGCGCGCGTCCGCAACTGCGCCCGCGCCCGCGCCTGCCGTCAAGATCTGGGCGGCGGCGGGGCTAGGCCGGGGGCGCGCTCGCTCGGGAGCGCGCTCATGCAGCGGTTTTCTTCTCCCACAATCCAGAGGCAGCTGCGCGGGAGGGGCGGGGAGTCGGCGGAAGGATATCGGCGCGGAGGGAGCAGCGCGCTCCCTTTGACTGCGGATCCGCGGCGCTGGCGGGAGGCGAGGGGTGGGGTGTGATGCGGCACTGCGGTTCTGAGGCCGTTACTCCGGCTCCTCCATAGAGGGCGGAGGAGGCTGGAGCGCGGCGGTGATTTTGTGCCAGGGATTCCCAGGGACGCGCTGAAAAGGCTGGCAGGGCTTAGGAAGCTGGGGGGTTAGGGACACACATTCGAGCCCCCACCCCTGGGAGGGGAAGGGGGCTGGAGACGAGGCTTGAGGGCGGCGGAGGGATGGTGTCTGTTCTGGGGGAAGGGGCGAGCCGTGCCTGTTGGTGCTGAGGGGCTGCGGGCAGTGGAGGCTCCGCGGGTCGAAAGCGGCTCCATGCCCATCGGTGGGTGTAACGTGTAGAGGTCGGAACGCCGAGGTCCAGTCTGGTGGCCCTTCGGAATCCTTAAACGTGGTCTCTGTCTAACGTATTTCATTTAGCCCACGTTGGGATTAATTCATTGGGGGCAGTTTCGCTGGTCTGGCTCCTCCAGGGGCTGGACAACCTTGACGGGCTTTTTGTCTTGGGCTCCAGCCCCCTTTCCCTTCCTCCTCCTCCAGATGCCTTTTCTCTGCCCCTCCTCGCCCGGTACAGACATTTCCAGGGCAGGCTGCTTCTCGTGGTGGCCGTCGTCGAAGCCACTTCTTGGGATTTCGTCTCGTTTCCCTCTGGGGTGTTTTTTGAGGAGGGAGAGTTTCCCCCTCCTACACGATGGGATTTTCCTCCCTTGCCGAAATGGATTTTCATTGATTTCTACTTACTTCCACGTTTAGTGACCTATTCCCTAGGCGTATTTTTGTGGTAGTTCCTTTTTTTCAAATACATACTCTGTAAAATGGAGAACGAAATTTTTACTCCTCTTCTGGAGCAGTTCATGACCAGCCCCTTGGTCACTTGGGTAAGTGGAGTGTCCTTTATTGTATATTTTGCTGCGTTATTTGTGGCTGCAGAGATGGAGGTGGGCGTTCATGTCGTGGTGATCCTTCTGTTCTAGGTTAAAACGTTTGGACCTCTGGCTGCAGGAAATGGGACCAACCTTGATGAATATGTGGCTTTGGTGGATGGGGTATTCTTGAACCAGGTCATGCTCCAAATGTAAGTTGTTCCTTCTTTCTTAGGTAACTTGTTTTCTCTGAGAAATAGCATAGGGTGAACTTTGAAACACGATGTTTTAAGCCCCTAATTTGGTTTATTGACCAGAAAAATTCAGGTGGTTTAAGAATCGGATCTTGAAAGGAATGCTAATATTCTGCGCTCAGCCCATTATCACAACCTAGAAATTCTACCTGTTAAAATTGTGAAACTTCAGCTTTTCATTCTGTCAACCACGTACCGTCACTTGTCTTCAGTACTGAAATCCAAGCCACATTGTGTCTTCTTTGATAATTTGGTAAAATAAGAGGGAGAATGAGAATCTGGTTTCCTAAGAGAGGAAAAAAGACTTTATTGTGAAGCTGTGTGCATTTGATGCAGAAATGTTTCTTATTAACCTTTATATCTAGAAATAAATGGCTCAGATTTTGAAACTGGTTAAGTAATAACAGATTTCAGAAGAGAAAATTTCAAACAGTTCTGATTGGTGAGGATTCTCCCTGTAGTAAGTAATTTAAAAGTCTAATAACTAAAGCCTGATGAGATGATTTATTGTGTGAATTATTAGGTTGCTTAATATTTTAGGAATCATTTTAAGGTATTCTTACAGGTTTTGAAATGTAAGTAACAAGTCTTGATAACAATTAGTTAATGACTTATTAGGCAAATCTTTGTCTTTTGTGTTTATAGTATTGGGTTTGTACTAAGTAGGAAAGTATGCTTTTGAGATGGGAATTGAATAGTGAAAGTGTATTGGTAGCTGGATCAGTAAAATTAAAACTCAGTTTTTATCTAATTGCAGTTATTGTAGCATATGTGCATTCTCAGTATGCTAATATAGTTCATCAAACTGAATTTTTCAGTTGTGCTTAAAATAATGTGTACTTACAATTATTTCTCTTGAGGAGAATCTGATTAGAAGAGGTAGTTTGGAACTTTTGATTTGAAGACATTCTTTTATATGTATGCGAAATTAGTGTGTTATTAAAAAATAGTTGTTACCAGAGAATAAGTCTACCATTCTTCTCTGATAACCTTATCAATTTTGTATTTTATTGGTTTAGATTTTTACGTTTAAGAGAGTCAAATCTATAAAAAATTGCTCTGGTGTTAACTTGTCTATGTGCTCAAAGAGATTTGTGGGCTGTTTTTCATGTATGTGTTGATCCTGCAGGGAAGTCTTATACTACTATACATTTTCAACCAGTGTTTTATTTTCATAGGTACCCATAGAAATATATACGTTATCTAAATATATATGTTTATTTTTTCCTTAAGAAGGAAAAAAAAATGGACATTATTTCCAGGGTAAATAAATTTATTTTTGTCAACTGTGACATGGAGTTATTTTTTATCCTCAAAATATCTGACTATTTTCTAAGCAAAATGGTAGGATAGTAAACTGACTTCTATTTTGGGGAACCTACATGACAGGAAGGGCAGCCATTACAGTAGATAATCAGAACTTGTTCCCCTATGTCTCTTTACGTGCTTATTTTTAGACTGAAAATTTTGAATTTGTGTGCTAAAAAATACGTGTGTTCACAAAAATAGGGAAATATATTACCTTAGTTTTCCACTTCAATGATTTTTATTTGAATGATTCTTTTTCCAAAAAATTTTAGATTTTTTTTTGCATCCTAAGTATGTCGCTGATGTCTAAAAACAAACACATTAGCTTGTTTCCACTTCAAATGCAGTTTTATGCTTAAAAAATATGTATATTTTGAAAATGATGGTATTCCAAAGTAGTGGCTGCCAGGTTGCTGTTTTTCATGAGTTCTAGCTCCTTTCCAAACCTCAAATCTGCTTCTGTATTTTCAGTTCCACCTCCCAGTTTCTTTAGATTTTTTTTTTTCAGTGTCCTAATTCTATTCTGAATGACCTATATAAATTAAAGGAAAAGAAAATTAAGAGAGAAGTATACTTTTGCTTTGTTTGAATAATTTGCTAAAATAAGATCAACACAAATTTATCTTAATAAATTATTTAACTGATAGGGCAACAAAACATACATTGTTTTAGAAGCTATGTTTTGCTAATTTTGAAGTCATTAGGATTTCTGTTAAGCACTTTGCTTAGGTTAATGTATGCTTCAATGTACTGCGGTATAAAGTGTCAGTTGTACCTCTGTACCTAGTTAATGTAAAAGTTAGGCTTAGTCTAATTTCTGCAGTACATTTAGTTACAGAATTTGTGAGCAAGAACCCTTTGTAAATGAAACTATATATTTTCCATGTTTCTTATGCTTGGAATTCGATGAGTGTCTTGGATCTGTGGACTTGTAGTTTTGATCAAATTTAGAAAAGTGTAGGTCATTATTCCTACAAATATATATGTATATATTTGACCTCTTCACCCTTTTGGAAGTCCAATTACATATATGTTAGCTTGATTTTGTCTTAAAATTCATTGATGTTTAATGCAATTTTCTTTCAGTCTTCTTTGTTTCATTTTGGATAGTTTGTTGTGATGTCTCCAAATTTATTGATCTTTTTTTCTATAATTTTTAATCTGCTCTTAATCTCACCCACCATATTTTTCATTCCAGATATTATAGCTTCATCTGTAGAAATTGTCTTATATCTTCCACATCTGTGTTTTTCATGCTCTCTCTTTTCTCTAGTTTCTTGAACATAGGCACTACAGTTATAATTGGCTTAGTGCCTATGTCTACTAATTCTGTCTGTGTCATTTTGGGGTTGGTTTTAGTTGATTGGTATTTCTCTCCATTACGGATTTTGTTTTCCTGCTTTTGCATGCCTGATTTTTTTTTTATTTGATGCTAGACATTTGAAATTTTAGCTTGTTCGGTGCTGGATATTTTTGTATTCAATTAAATACAAAAATCTTGAGCTTTGTTCTAGCATACATTGTTACTTGAAAACAGTTTAATCTTTTAGGGATGTGCTTTTAAGTTTTGTTAGGCAGTACCGCTTTGTCACACTACTGAGGCAAAACTCTTCCGAATACTCTAGCTGGTGGAAGCAGGACCTACTTGGTGGTGTTCACTCTCAATCTTTTTGGTGGTTTTTTTCACTATCTTTGGGTAGTTTCCTCACACTTACATTCTGGTAAGTACTCAGTCTTGAGGGATACCCTCTGCAGATCTTTCTCACTGTGCATTTCTCTTAAGTACGCTGCCTTGTGTACTTGAGCCACCTTGCTGTCTCCAGACACAGTTCCGTCTCCTCAGCTCAGACCATTGTGCTCTGCCTGGATTCCCCTCTTCCTGTTCTGTGGCCTGGAAACTCTTTCAAGGCTATAATGCTGAAGCAGTTGTTGGATTCATGCTTGTTTCCCATTTATTGGGGATCACTGTCTTTTGTTGCCTCAGTCCAATGTCTTGAAAAATGTTTTATGTATTTGGCCCTTTTTTCCCCCCACTTGTTTCAGGGAGGAGGGCAAATTTGGTCTCTGGTCACCAGTAGAATATGTTTGTATAGCTTTTTTTTTTTTTTTTTTTTTCCAAGACAGGATCTCGCCATGTTGCCCAGGTTGGAATATGTGATCACAGTGCACTGTGGTCTCAAACTCCTGGGCTCAGGCCATCCTCCCACCCTAGCCTCCTGAGTAGCTGGGATGACAGGCACACATACTATAATGCCTGGCTGTTGATATACTTTTAATTACATTTTGCTCTGCTAGTCTTACATATTGCTTTTAGATGTGACATATACTTTTGTTATAGGAACTTTATTATTTAAGTTTTTCATCTAAAGTGTTAAGACTAAGAAAATGGATTAATTGAATGACTCTGGTGTTGCTGTTTTGCACCCAGACCCTAAAACTGAAGAGCTAACTTCTTCATGATACTGTTTACTGACTCTGCCTCACAATTTTGGAATCTGTTCGTTGACTTGAGATTTACTATATTCAGAGATGAATCCTGAATTTGAGTAGCTTTTTGAATCAAATAATCTCTTTAAGAACTTGTAACATGGCATCAGTCCTCTTTAACTAATGAGAAGGAAGAGGGAAGCTATTTAGAGATCTGGAATGATGGGCCAGCTCTTCTGTATGCTGTAGGGCATTTTCCTGCTTCAATGGGTTGAAATCTTTTTTCTTTATTGCTAGTTATCAGGTGTAGGATTTGGTGACAGTGAAGTAGGGATAATTATTTTCCTGTTTGAGATGGCATTTAGTTCTGTAGCCAGTTTTGAATATTACTGTGAGTTTTTAAAGAATTTGTGGCATTGTAATTAATATCATAATCCTAAAATTTTAAAAATGTGCAGTTACCTAAACAGGTGAAAATATGAATGTCTTAGGGTTTTCAGACTGAGAAAATTGTTAAAAGTATCGGAACAATATTTGGAATTATTATTTATAATTCAACCCCAACCCCATTAGATAGTTACAGAGATCCATACTTGGAACACTTGGTAATGGTGATATACTTGTTATGGCCTTTCTTTTCCTTTAGAATCTTGGGTTTGAACGGACTTTAGAAGTCATCTACTGTTTTGTGCATGTGTTTTTTGTTTTTTTTTTTTTTGAGACAGGGTCTTGCTCTGTTGCTCAGTCTGGAGTGCAGTGGCATGATCACTGCTCACTGCAGCCTTTACCTCTTAACCTCCAGGGTTCAAGTTATCCTCCTACCTTAGTCTCCCAAGTAGCTGGTAGCACACAGCCATGTGGTACCACACCTGACTAATTTTTGTATTTTTCATAGAGATGTAGTTTTACTATGTTGCCCAGGCTGGTCTCAGGCAATACACCTACCTCAGTCTCCCAAAGTGCAGGGATTACAGGCGTGAACCAGCCTGACTCTTTGCTTGACTCTGCTGACTAGACTGTGAGATTCCTGAAGCTAGGGACTCTATCTTTTACCTCTGTATCCCCAGGACGGTGTTTGACATACAGTAGGTTCTTGATATATTTCTGTTGAATTATTGAATGATAGAGCCATGTGTAGTAAAGCGGAATGAATTTGGGCCTTATGCTAGACAGACTTGGATTCATTTCCAGCTGTGTTGCTTATTGGTATGTGAATTTAACAT